TATCATTGTGGGAAAATTCTACTACCAGTCCTTCATCACCTTACACGAAATAGGGTGAATACATCTAATTCCACAATTATTACTTTGTATCAGTCCACTTAAAATATTTTCTCCATTCTTATTTACATTTTATTCCATACCATTTTATTCTCCATCTAAACTTGGCCATGCCGACTAGAGGCTTTAGACTTGTTTTGCCAGTTCCAACCAAACTTTTCCGTTTTCCACGATAGAACTAGATCTAGTGTTTGTTTCACAATTTGTCTGTTTTAAATGTTAACTACATCTTTCCACCCTCAAGGATGGTATACGCCTACACCAAGCCACGCGGGCCTATCGCCGCGATGTACAACAGCCCCGGTCCAGTGTATTTGCTACCACCGCTGCTTGGTAGTTCCAGTCATTCGCATAAGCACGATCCTCGCTCCACTCACCCAACAGCTCCATCCTGGACCCTTGGAAGCCGGTTGGCTGCAAGTCAGACAACTGGTGGAGAAGGTCCAGGACCCGTTTACTCTGTGCCCGGTGGCCTGACGCGCTATGGCGACGCTAGTGAACATCGAGCAACGTCTATTTTCTCCCGTCCCCCAGAGATTAAGCCACTCGAGACACCAGGCCCCAACGCCTACAACATAGACCCAGCCAGTAAATTGGTTTTCTCCATGACCCCGGCGTTCAGTTGCTCTGGTCGGCTTGACGGGCGGACAAGTGATGAAGTACCACGTGAGTAGAATGGGACTAAAAACTGTTCGAAATTGGGCTTCCTTAACCGGTTTTATCCAGCAAAATGGAGTAGGAAAAGAGGACAATCCATTAGCCAAGAGTGAGATGGATCTGTCCGGTTGGATTCAACCAGGCGTGGCTTTCTAAAGCAACGAGAACTAGCAAAACCAATTGAAAACTCGACTAGTTTAAGGCAAGTTGTTGAGGACGAGCAGACTCTGGAGGCTGCCAACAGCAAACGCTACTCAATCAAGTCAAAACTATTCTTGATTGGTCCATACCGAATCCAGATGAAGTCTGTCCACTATCCATGACTCAAAAACACTCATCCAAATATGCAAAAGCTTCACAGGGGACCCTGTCTTGATGACATGTCACTTGCTCACTGCTGTTGCTAGGCGACTGTGAAAGATTGGTACAGATTTTGCCGCAGAAACATGTAGTCACGTTGAAGCATTTGACTGGTTAGTTTTGTTAAACAGCATCCTTTGCCTGAGTTTTTCTTGTGCCAATTCGAAATATCACTTTTTGTCCCCAAAAGTATCGAAGTAGTTCACGCAGTAGCACATGCTCAGTAGAGAAAAACGAGTATATAATGAGGGGGATTAATTCAGTAATGCTTATTACTTTTAATGCTTAATGCCTTTGCAATTTGGCTAAGTTTAAGCCGTGTGAAATAATTTCTAGTTTACATTAAATTCTAATTTAATTTATAGGTTGAAAGTTGTTTGGCCTTGTTTTCACAACTTGGTCTTATTGTCATGGCGACTTAGAGGTATG